GGAGCTGATATCAAGGAGCTCAAGAACGAAACTGGTTGCGGTGGCAGCTGCGCAGTGCTGCTCGATGGGACCGAACCGTGGAATGTTAGGAGATCTGAAAGAGCTCCCAATAAAATTAAAAATTGCGCGGTGGGGGGAACTGAGCGGCTGACTTGGGGTGCTGGGGCCCGGACCCGAATGGAAGGAGCGGAACTAAGGGGGAAATGGGGGCGGGGACGAATGGGTACAACTCCGGGGGAGAGGAAGAGATGGGAACCCGGCGAAAACTTGGGGTTGTGAGTAGAAAGAAATAAACGGAAAATGAGAAGATTAGGGATTGAGGGGGGAGGGGGCGCACGAGGGCACACGGAAGGCAGGAGATCTGGAGGGCCCTGCGGAAATGAGGCTGGAGAATCAAAGCGAGGGCCTGAGGAGTCAGCGCCCAGAAGTTCAATGGGAGCCGGGATGAAAAGGATTCAGAGAATGCCTAGTAGCTTTTTAAAAAATGGGAACAGAACAGGGCATGCCAAGGTTAACGGGGACCGTGAGAAGGGCAGCTGAGGAACAAGGGGGAGAAACTGTGGAGTTAAGGAATAGGTAAATGGCATAGCCCAGGGAGGAACCTGGGAGGCCTGTGGTTGGCATGGACCTAAGAAAGAGATCTGTTTTAGGGGGAGGAAAGATGGGAGAACGAAGAGGGGAGGGGGAAGCTTGGGTTAAAAATAACGAAAAACTGTAAAAGCCAGGGGTTAAAAATGTGGGAAACTAAGGTTAAGGTAAGAAATACAGACTAAAAGGAAATGTTTCAAATGCCATAGCAAAGATAAAGAATTACCAACTGGTAGGAAGGAAAGGGAGTGGGCCAGGATGAGGGACAGGAGCTGGGATGGTGGAGGACTGACCTTAGGAGAAGGCGAGACTGTTGGAAGCGAAACACGGGGCCTGTAGAGTACAACTGGAATTGACCAACCTCGGAAGGCAGGTGGGGGTGGAGGTGTGTGGGCGAGTGCGCAACACTAGTGCAACTAGAACTGGTTGAGCCACGGGAAGAACTTCAAAGCCATCTATAGCCCCGGGAAGTGGGTGGCTATCAGAAATTGCCTTTTGGAACATTCCGTCCGTTCTGTGCCCCCCCAATAGAACAACTACCCTAGACTTTGGCGGTTGGAAAGCATGAAGTCTGTGGAGAGAAGTGGGTTTGAAGTTACACAGGCATTTGAGCACAAGGAGAAAGTGTCTAAAGGGGAAAGGGTCTCAATAGATGACGGAGGGTGACTTGTTTGGTGCCATCCAGTCTGATCCAACTCAGCATCCCTAAGCACAACAGAATGAAAACACTGCCTTGCTCTGCACCCTTGTTACATGTGAGCCAGTCCATTTGGTTAAAAGTCTTCCTTTTTTTAATGGCCCTGGTATATGTTGTGTCTGCTAGTCATTAAAAGTGACGACCAACAAAAAGGCATTACATTTTTGTCCCCAAGAAATATTTTTGTTGACTATTTAGATTTAAATAAAGCCCACTGAAACATTTACTTCAAAATATTTTATTACATAATCTTTAAAAAGTCCAAATTATAACCTCAGGTCTAAGTTCTCTGCATCCCCCTCACCCCCGTGTAAATAAGGCAGAAGGATCTGCTTTTTTTTTCTCTCTGCAACAGTTCATGCCCAGTCCCATGGCGAGAAATACCAGTTGGCACTTATTGCATCATCATACATTTTACCCAGCAAGGATGATTTTTCCAGGGGTGATGGAAATTTCCCACCATGTGTTTTCCTGCTGTGTAGATAAAGCCTGGATGTGCTTCTGAGACGTGGAGCTAATATCAAAGCTACAGGATAGCATGCCTCCCTCCTCCCCTAGATGCTGATGTGTCGCCAGGTTCTGAAGAAAACCAGTAGTCAATTGTGTTATCTCTGATGTGTTCTCTCTTTTGGCTTCTAATAAATAGATTACATGAACTCTCAAGTTCATATCACATGCAGAGAAAAAATTTTTTAAAGCACGATGTTACCACCTGGTCTTTGCCACTTTAAGGACCACGCTCTATATGTCACTATCGACATGGCTGTGGATATGGGGACATGTTCTTTCTTTTTAAAAAGAAATCCTAATTCTTTAAATACCCTTAAAACATGATGACCTCTGGTCCTAGGACTCCCAACTGATTTGGCTATATTACGGTGCACACCAGGTCCAGGAAGAAGTGGCATCAGTCGTCGCTCCAGGCATGAGTGGTTTACAGCGTTCTGTTACCAAGATCTCAAAGTTCCCATTTGCTCGTGGAAAAACCCGGCCTCAGATATTTCCTCTCAGCAGGTGTGTGTGCGCATGTATGTGTGCACACGCAGAAGAGGAAGTTGTGGGAAGCATCCCAGTGATCTCAAACACTGTTCACGGTGTCCTAGCTTGGTTGATTTCCCTACACTGTGTTGTTTTGAAGATGGTTGCCTCCGCTGCATAATAAACTCTCAAATGCAGGGACCGAGTCATAGAAAGTCATTAAAAAGTTCCCCAGGGGGAGACTAAACTCACACTTCAGCAACGTTAGAAGCCCCCATCCAACAATCACATTCTGAAATGACTTTCATTTGGACTGGCTACCCACATGAGGTACTGTGGAACAGAAGACCTGGCCCAACCAGGAGAACAGAAATTCACAGTTCTTCCTGGACAGTGGGAATTGCAGCCAACTCCTGAGCCCCCTCCAGGTCTGAGCTGGGATCAGGACACAACACGGACTGATTTACTCAGTTGAACTTAGGTCCCTTCAGCCAAGAACAGCATTTCCCCCCTCCACATCTGCAGGGTTACTTCCGACAACCAGCTCCTCGCCTAATCAGTGTCACTGGTATCCTAGGAAAAAGTTCTTGTCTCTGTCCTAGGTTGCGTCCATTACAGCAGGATATGGAATATTTAAGAACACACAGATTCAAGTCAGATTTTCATGTGTTAGCACATATTGCTTGCACCCTTATAAGGTCCCTGCCATTTAAGAGATCACAATAAAATCAGTACAAGGAAAAAATAAATCTCTAAACTCTACAAGGATCTATCTACTTGGACGTCTCAGCAGCCTAAACTCGCTCCACATTATTTTCACTGGAAGTTCGGTCAGTGTAGCCTTGGAATATCCCTAAGAAGTCTGAAGGAACACGTTTTCCCATTTCCGAGAGGAAAACTGAAGCTGAAGAACGGATTTTTATGCAAGCCATCCCTATCGCTAGATACACCGTTACCAAACCTTTCACTGCAAAAGAAGTGAAGAGGAGGAAAGGCTGGAAGCTAAGAACATAACATCCCAGAGGCTTCTGTGTAAATGTGAAGCTCTGCAAAAGGCGTGGTGAAAATGAAGGCACTTCTCTTTGAAAAGGAGCCCTGGGCCGTGATGCGAAAGGTCAGTGGTTCAAACCCACCCACTGCTCCTTGGAGAAGAAGGATGTTATCACTGGCTCTCATAAATGTATATATAGCATTGTTTCCCAAAGTGGGTGATGCTGCCCGTGTGTGTGTGTGTGTGTGTGTGTGTGTGTGTGTTTCTGAAAAGGAGGCTGTAGGTCAAAAAAGTTTGTGAACCATTGATTTACAGCCCTGGAAACTCTAGGTAAAGCAGTTCTACTCTCAAGAATTTTCTTCAGGGAAGTACAAAGCCAATAGGAGAGCTCAGCTTATACACTCATCTGACACCACTCTTCCACGAATGAAAGGCACAGGGCACTAGCTCTTTCTGTCTGTCCACTAGCAGCCATTGAAGAAGACAGCCAACATCTAAAGACCTCTCTGGTTCCCCACAGCCAAGATCGTCTCATTTGCCTCTCACCTGTTTTATACACAATGGCATCGAGGCCCAAGGAGAGGTAAAAGCCACAACCCAAACCCATATGATAAAAAGCTGGGCCCAGATACAAGCCCGTGTGGTTCCATCAGCAAAACGTGACCCAACTGCCAGCATCTTACTAGTCTTGAAGCTAATGATGCTGCCCCTTTTCCAGGGAAATGGCATGTGTCTACTTTCTCAGCCCTGGGCTCACCTGAGCAGTGAGAGGGGGCATTTCTCTGGCATCCCATACTATTCCTTTCGCACCAGGACAACCTGGAATCATGGCACAAAGCACGGAGACACGCTGTATGTTTTTGCCCGCTCTTCCTCCCTCTGAACCAACATCTGCCACACTAGCTGCCTCTGGGGAGCAGGTGTCACAACGTGATACCTCAGATCCAGCCTGGCTACCACACTGCATTCCCAAAGCTCGTAAACACTGTTGGAAGACTGACAACAAATCACACTTTTTTGGTAAGGGGAAGGAAAGGTGTGTTTTTTTTCTCCCTCTCTCTTTTCTTTTTGCCGAGACCACCCTCCAACCATTGCTCATGTCTGACTCCCCTCGAGACAGGGGTGCAAGCCAAAACTCAATGAGAAGCTTATCTTCACCTTTGCTTCCCAAGCTTTACAGAAAAGAGCATGACGGCCAATTCCCTTCTTCAGACTGGCCCACCTTCCTCTTGAACGACGTCACTCTGCAGCTCCCTGAGGTCATCTGTAGGGGGGGAAGGAAACAGAACCAACTGTGAATGACCTCAAGAGCGTGTGTTGCTATGGCCACGGTTGGTTTTCCAATCATTTCAATAGTTTGTTGTTCTTTTCTGGGAAGGTGAAGGAGCTATCTGCTAGGATTGCCCGAGGAGTTTTGGGACAAAACAAAACTCACCGCCACCGAGTCGATGATGACGACTCAATAGTGACCCTACAGGACAGGGTAGAACTGTCCTTGTGATTTCTGAGACGGTAACTGCTGGAATAGAAAGCTCTGTTTTTCTCCTGAGGGACAGCTGGTGGTTTTGAACTGCTGACTTGGTGGATCGCAGCCCAGTGCCTAATCACAACAGCACCAGGGGTCTTCGCTTTGGGGCACAATGGGTATTCCTCCCTCCATCACCTGCTCTCTTTAAAAACCCTCAGACAGACTTTTTGGTTCTTCCCACCTGTCAGACCTTTGGCTTGCGCCATTGCCTTTTGCCCTTTCTGCTTCTGTCAATACAACTGTCCAACTCTTACCTCCTCACCCACCTCCTCTCCTACAAAGCTGCTTCATAGACCAAGTTCCCCTGAAGACTCTAGTCTCTCTCTCAGGTCCTCTCAGTTTTATATGCATCATTCAGCAGGCAATTAATCGAATCCCTCCTCATAACAGCTCTTCCATTTCTCTCAAGAGGTTGGTTAACCATTGCTTCCATTTCCATTTCCCCCACATATTTTGGCCTTGTCCTAACTGATCTTGAGTCGCTCCATGCATGCAGGTAATGTCTTTCCCCCCAATATCCTACAATGCCAGTAAGGCCCCTGGGGGGCACAAACGGTTTGCTCTTGGCTACTGACCAGAAAGTCAGCAGGTCTTCCCCACACCGCGGTGCCATGGAAGAAAGGCCTGGTAATCTGCTTCCACAAAAACGACAGCCAAGAAAACTAAGGAGCTCAGTTCTGCTGTTACATCTGGAGTTGCCAGGAGTCAGCAACAGGCTGGATTATCTTCCCCTTAATGCCAGTGTTGTACCTTTCCCGGAAGGGTAGGGGTCTTGGAGAAACCTGCCCGTTAAGATTTTGTGCGGCTGTCCCTCAGCTTCTCAAGTGCCTGATAAAGGTTACCTAACTGTCTTCTCCAGGGGGAGGAAAACCCTAGGAGATTTCCTGCAGGGAGGCTCCTCACAGCTGACGAAAGGACTTACCTTCTAGAGCCTGGAGCCCGTTCCCCATCTGTTCCAGGTTCCCATTCACCAGTGCTGTCACTTGATGAATGTGGCCATGCCTGACCGTTTCCTTTCGCAACGCCACTCTCTTGTGTTCTTCCTCCTCCTCCCTGTCCTCTACAGCAGCATCTTCCTTCTCCTCCTCTTCTTCCTCTTCTGAATCCACCAAAACCATGACATCACCATTGTCTTCCTCCCTACTTTGAAAAGGAGAAGAGCAATCAGGACAATAGCCCATGCTTCTCCAAACATCAGCCCCCACTGACTAGGAAATGGTTTTTGCGGCCCCTTGGGCAGTATGGAAGGAGGAGTCCCAGAGATGTTGTCTGGTAAACGGGGCTGTTAACCTCAAAGTTAGCCTTTCACACACAGGTCTGACTCTGAAGTCTGGGCTCTTTCTAGAGTGACAGACTCACCCTCATTCTCCAGCCCTGATGGCCTAGTGGATTCTACAGTGGGCTGCTAACTGAAAGGTCGGTCGGTCAAACCTACCACCTGCCACTCAGGGGAAAGATGAGGCTGTCAGCCCTCAGAAAGATTAACAGTCAGAAACACTACCGAGTGTTGCTTTGAGTTGGAATGGGCTTGGTGGGACTGGGTTTGGGTTTTACCACTGAATGCCAAATAATGCCCCTACAGTCACCAATGAGGGACACATCTTGTGCTTTTGATGACGCCCCCCCCCCCACCAGAAAGCACCCTTTCCTGCTTGTCACGCAGATGCCATCGTTGCAAGCACCCACCATTTCACTGTGCAATAAGTCCCCCTGCTCCCTTCCTGAACCTTAAAAACAGGTCTCCTCCTCATCTTTTGAAGGCCATTGTTCCCTTTGCTGGGAGCCTTGAAACTATGATGGTGGCTCTTAAACTCGGGACTCAGGGGTTGGCATGCCATTGCTCTCCTGAACAAGCCTACCGCTAGCTTTACCTCCCTCACCAAGACTGTTAACTTTTTAACGGAGGAAGAACATGAATGCAAACCAGTTACAGTCCTAGGAGTATCATAGTAACCCCATCCATGGAACAGAAGAGACCATGGCTCAGAGAAGGTCAGGCCCTTTCCTATGGTCCCAGGGCCTGGAACTGGCCTATGAATGCAAGAGCCTTCTCCCACTATGCCATGCTGCTGGCTCCCTGGGAAATGATCTTGGGGCACAACAGACTTCCTGGGAGAAACTCTCAAACACAGGACAAGGAGGGGTTATGGTGTCTCTTGGAAGGCAGTTTCAGGACAAGAATAGCCCACTACTGTGAGCAAGTAGAAAAAAAAAAGACTACTCTACGGAATCCTAGAGAAGGGCTCTGAGTTCTCACAGAGAGCTCCTTAGAAAATAAAATACACAAGTTCCATCTAGTTATGTGACGCCCCCACCGGGGTTTCCCTGGGGAAGAGCTTCTAAGCATGTTCAGACTCGCCTTCCAGAACATGACTTAGAACTTGTTCCTTCTTTTAGCTCTTTTTAGGAAAATACAAGCATGAACTTCTGGGCTCAACAGGTACGTATCATCTTTAGGTCTCAGTGTGATTAGCCCTGCGAGGTCTAACAGCTCACCACACTCAAATCCAAACCCACTGCCATCAAGTCCATCCCAAATCCCAGTGGCCCCGCCCCGTAGGATAGAGCAGGACTGCTCCTCTGGGTTTCCAAGTCCTTAGGGGAGCTGACAGTCTCATCCTGCTCCAGAGAAGCAGCTGGAGGGTTTGAACTGCTGATCTTGTGGGTAGCAGCCCAAATATGTAACCGACTACACCATCAGGGCTGAGAAATGAGGGTGACAGTTGAAAAGACTTTGGGTCTGGAATGCAGGCCCTGCTGTTTGCTTCCCGGATGAGTGTGCAGAAATTCTTTTACGTTGCTGAGTCTCCATCTCATCTGGAAATGGAGATGCCACCACCACCACGCAGGGGATTTAGGAAGCGGTTTGTCATCATGCCTAGTGAAGCCTGCAGAGCGGTTCCACGTGGTCAGGGCTCTAGCCACTGCTGTCACTACCCTTAAGATGGGGAACAACGCCGCAGTGAAGACAGACAAGGGGAACAGACTCTTGATATAAGTTCTGGGAACACTCACCTGAGATTTCTGCCTGCCGGGAGGAAAGGGGAAACAAACATTAATGTCCAGTAGCAACGACTTCAGCCTCCTAACAGTTTTTAATCCATCTAACATTTACATAAGGCTACACCAATGAGAAGGACACTGATCCCACGTGCATAATGACTGTGTCCATCACCATAAACAAACAGGTCAACAACAAGTGGCCCATTCCAATGGGGTACTACTCGCCCATCACAAAGAATGAAGTTTTGAGACATGCAATGAGATGGATGAATCTTGGAAACATACTGAGTGAAACAAGGGCAATAAAGACATTACAGGACAAGAATATGCTTCCATGAGCACGAAGTATTTGGAATAGACAAATGCACTAGGATTCCAAGGGCTGGGAGGCAGGACAGTAGGGAATCATTAATTGAGTACAGAGTTTCTATTTGAGGTGATGAAAAAGTATTAGATCATAATTGTCCAAATTGTAAATGTAGCTAATGCCAACTGAACTATATCTGTAAAAATGGTTAAAATGGTAAATTTCATGTTATATATAGTTTATGGAAAATAAACCCCCTCCAGGACCAGCCCCCACAAGAACCCATTTAAAATCAGCTAGAATACAAAAGAATAAAAAAAAGGAGAGAAAACACCCAACATGAGAGATGTCAGCCCAGGGGCAGTTCTTATTGCACATCTTGTCCCTATAGAGAAGACGCATATAGGCTAGGACTCTGGGTAGGAGTGTCAAAGGGGCCTCTTCCTCTGCCCTCGTGTCCTTTTAAGAATCATGAATGAGAAATAAAGGGGCCCAAGGAGTCCTACCTTTCCGGCAGAACACAGGGTTGTGGTAGAACACGAGCACTGAGATGATGCCCAGGGCCAGCAGGAGAAGGCTCACAGAAGTGCCCACAACTCCCCCGATGCTTAAGGGTTCTGTGAAAACAACCCACACCATCGCCTTCAGCATGTGATATGCATACAACTGGACAGAGGAGAGCAGCACCGAGCCCTCATCTGCCCTGAGTCCAATCTTCTGTCTTAGTTTCATGACGTGGAGTAATGGTCAATGACAAGTTTGTAAAACAGGTAAATATCTCATCTTCCTAGCTTAAACCGGAGAGGTTATGGAGATCATCAATTGAAACATCCTATGTGAAAAAAAACGCTGCAAAGTTACCATTTCTGTGTGTACCAGACATCAAGACTTTTCATAAAGGCATAGCAATCAATGAACAGTATAATTACCAGGGCCTCAATAAACAGTTTCAATAGAACAGAAACTGACCCACAAAAAAGAAATCTATATGTGACATTTTAGTGAGGAAGAGAGGAACTATTTAATAAATGGTTTGGGGGACACATGGCTATTCCAAATGGATAAAAAAGCAAAAAACCAAATCTTGATCCTGATTTTCCTCCTTCCACAAAAATCAATCCCTGGTGGATTAATGAATTAAATATAAAAGACAAATTTTAGAAGAAAATACAGAAGAATGTCTTTCTAATCTTGAAATAGAAAAGCATTTCTTAAGACATCAAAACTGTAATAATTTTTTAAACTGTAATGATTTCAAATTTCATAAAACCAACTATAATAGAAAGAGAAAAACTACAATAAGAGTTATTTCTAGCACATAAAACTAAAGAACTCACATATCTATAAGGAAAAAAGCAAACCAAAGATCATGGGAAATGTCAAAAGACAAAAAATGAAAAAAATACTCAGCCTTCTTAGTACCCAGGCTATGGTGAGATTGCATTTTCACAGCTTTTATTTTGAAATTATGAAGCCGCTAGTGAAAATGTGGATTAACTGCATAACCTTTATATATTGCTGGCAAGCACGGACACTGCGACAGCCACAGTAGAAAACAATTCGGTGTTTTCTCATAAACATTCACCAAGGCCCTCATTTCCACTCCTTGTGTATAATCCTCGAGAACCATTTGCACACGGATTGGGAACTGGGTGAAAAGGCAGCCACGGAAACTCAGTTCATTGTAATACAAAGTCCACAACCACCCAAAGGCCCACTACCAGGAAAACGAATGGCTCAATTGTGGAATAACGCCCCAAGGTTAAATGATATAGCAGCAAAGAGGTGTGAAGTAAGATTATCACACACCATCCTCAATGAACCCCAGAAACAAAATGTGGAATAAAGAGCAAATTGCTGAAGAAGAGAAACAATATGCTTTAAAACTCAAACATAAATGATGTTTTAGTTAGGAATGAATCTTGATGTGATTTTCAAAAATTAAATACATACTTTGGAATTAAAACCATGAAATTCAGGCTAGTGTTCTCTTGTTCTAAGGATGAGACCGGCAGGGTTGCCCGAGAAAGCAGAGATAGACGATCATTTGTTTTTATAAGTATGTTTCATGCAATAGTTATGACATAGGTACACACAATTGCTGTCAGGCTGATTCTAAGTCACAGCAACCTTATGTACAAGGGAACAGACTGTTGCCCAGGCCTGTGCCATGCTCCCGATCACAGGCATGTTTCCATCAGGCCATCCTTGTGGTTACTGCGCTGATCCATCTTACTGGTGGTCTCCCACACCCGCACTGGCTCACTACTTTACCAAACACAACGAAAGCGCCATTGACTGAACTGTCCGAATGACGTGTCCAAAAGCAAGCAAAAGTCTGTGTG